AAGGGTTAAAATATAGTGTTACGTCTATTATTAAAGCATAGTATTACATTAATTTAAAATATGGTTAAATTCGTTTGACATTAATTAACTGTATCTTGTACAATTAAAAAAAAAATTTATGATTTTTATAGCTTTTAAAATAAATAGTTTATATTTTTTATCTGTTTTTGGTGCTTTTTACGTAGTTTTTTTTTTAAATTGGTATAATAATATTTATTTTTTTTTAAATAAGATCTTGGATTTTTTTGTATCAGGATGATGGTTTTAGACTTTGAGTTGATTATTAATGCCAATTTGATTTTATACGGTAGTAATAATTATTCAAGTATTAATTATATCAGAATATAGTTTTGTATAAAATTTGTCTTGCGAATAATTTCGATTAACTTAATGATATTTTTGCACTATCACGGGATGATCTACAAAAATCAGCCAATTACAATGAAAGCCCGCTATGCTTGTTTTTATAAGCAGTTTCGTGACTGTTTCATAACTCAGAAGACAATCAACCAATTATATTGTACCTATACAATTCACACAATTCACTTTTATTATACTTTTAATATTTAATAAGGCAATTTCGCAACATTACATAAATGGTTGGATTAAATTTTATGAATTATTTTCTACAGTAGAGACAGTGGATATTACAGAGTTTTCACACAATTGATAGCGAATTTTTTTATATTATTTTACAATACTTTTTTGAAATGCTCATGTATCTTATCCTTTCTAAGAAATGTAAAAAATTCTTTAAGAAAATAGAAGTTCGAACTTTGTTTTATAACATATTTCTTGAATCCTTATGAATCCAAATTTTTGTAAATCGGAAATTTGATTGGTCGATCAATCATGTTATGCAATTTTGATTGATCTCTGCTGTAATTATTATTAAAAAAAATCCGCCCATCTGTTAAGCTGACTGGTATTGATTTGTAAAAAGTTAAAAATTAATATTGTTAAGTTGATTAAGAGAAGTGTTAAGAATATAATTTTGTTCTTATAAAAGGTCTTTGTTCATATCTTTGTTCTTAGGGCTGATTTATAATTATAAAGTTTTAATAAGATTAAAAGTATTCTAACAAAGACTCTATTTAGTGTTTTTACTTTTCAAAATTAAACTTAGTGATATTTTTGTAAAAATTTTTAATATCTACTGCATAGCACTGCTTATAGTGTCCCACAAAATAATACCTTCCATGATTAAGACTCGGGTATTATTTACCGTCCTATTGGTCTATTTCTTGAATAAAATCTGGGAGTATAATTATAGTAATTTATTACTTTTCATATAAATACTCTCCAAATATAATACCCGGTTCTATACGAATACTAATTAATTTCAAAAGTCAAGTTTTGAATAAAATTCGGGTACTATATATTAATAATGAATACGTCATTTATTTTATTTCAAACCAGATGTCTCCCAATAATTCGAAATATAATCAAAATTTACTAATTCAAACAAAGATATGAACCAGTTAAAGTCAATCGAACCAGGTCAGTTCTTAATGTCAAATGAAATGAAATAATGAACCGAGTTCACTTGAACTAAATATACTTATTCCAGACGTCCACACTTACAATTAAAATTATAATTAAACCTATTTCCAAAAACTACTTTCAAACTATTTAAAATACCATTATGCAAGAACTTATATAATCCCTACAGTTTTTTCTAATGTAACAAGAGTTTAAGGAATAAGCTTTTAAATAATTAGGTTTAATCTTGCATTTAACAACTAAACTATGATGTATAGCTAGTTTTTTTTTATTGTTAAACAGTAAAATTATTCTTGTCACTGTATGTACCTTCACTTATATTACTTTATATGTAAATTCGTTTTTCAATATTTTCTAGATCTTTCTTTTCAAATATTCTAATTACATTTGTTAATTTTTGAATCATCTCATCCAATCTCTTGGTATCCTCGTAAGTAACTAGCTTCCGCCTCCGCAATCTGACCCATTCACTGTGACACCCAATCACTACCAATCGATGCTTATCGAATTCAGATAAAAGATTATTAATATGATATCGTATGTCAGGAATCTTCTTCATTATTTGTTTTAAATATCCGAAATTTCGCTCTAATTTTTCTATATTATACCGATAGCGCTCCCTCAATTCTAATTTATTCTCGTCAAAAAAAAGTTCTACATCTTTTATCCCATTTGCAAATTGATGATGCATCCCATTATATAAATAATAAAGATCATCAAGTTCATTTTTGGTTATTCTAAATTCATCTCGTAGCTTAGTGATTATTCTTAAAATCTTCTCGTAACGTTCAGCAAAATACATTACATCTTGTCTTGTAATAACTTGTTCCTGGTAAATTTCTCCATTAATGGATTTCAGCTCTGCTATAAGTTCCTTAAGAACAAAATTGCCGGTGGAATACATTTTTTCGATGGCCTCCCCTGATTTACCTATTTTATCCCCGAGCTGATTAAGGTATTGTGCCACCTTATCAGAATTTTTAGAGGATAATTCATGCCGGCTTATAACGTCAGCAAGATATTTACTTGTGACTTGATATTCCATGATCACAGAGGATGCTATTTTGTGGAATGATTCTATAAATACTTTCTGATGAATTATTCAGGAATAATTAAAAAATAATGTACCTGGTATATTAAGTTCAGCGAGTTGTCCTGAAAGCGAATTAGTAGTGTTTATAAGATTTCTGAATATAGGCAAATCAACAGGCTATATATGATAAAAAAAAGTTAAATAATATGCCTAAATCTTGTGCTTTAAAGTAACAAACTAAAATCTCACCGGAAGGAATATGTCAAATATTGGCTAAATTTCCAAAATATGCTAATAATTAGATTATCGTTTAAGACACATGTACAGTATAAAATATATTTGACAAACCTACTTCATAATAAAATGCAAATCCGAAAGTAATAGCGATGACAGCAACTAAAATACTAATGCTAACTAATGAAATGATCGATTTAATTGGGTTTAAGTTTAAATATTGTGAATTATCAGTATTGTTTGAATCACCACTAAGAGAACCTTGACCTTTATTACTAGTAGACCTTGAGTTTTGCTCTGTATTAGAAGTTTCGATGTTAAGACCTTGTTTAACATGAAGACTATAGTTATCACTAGTAGGCTCTGAGTTTTGCTCGGTATTAGAAGTATCGTTGTTAAGACCTTGTTTGACATTAAGACTATAGTTATCACTAGTAGGCTCTGAGTTTTGCTCAGTATTAGAAGTATCGTTGTCAAGACCTTGTTTGGCATTAAGAATATAGTTATCACTAGTAGGCTCTGAGTTTTGCTCATTAATAGAAGCACCGTTGCTAAGAGTAGAATTAGTAGTATCCTTCGAATTATCGAAATTATCGTCAGAATTGCAGGTGGTAACATCCTTGGAATTATCGTCATGGTTGGAATTATCGTCAGAACTGCAGGTGGTATCATCCTTTGAATTATCGTCAGGGTTGGAATTATCGTCAGAATTGCAGCCGGCATTATCCTTGGAACTATCGTCCGAATTGAGGCTAGTAACATCCTTAGAACTATCGTCATCAGAATTACAGCTAGCATCAGTAGGATTTAAAGCTTCCTTAGCGTCAGGAATATTGTAACAACTAAAGGTATCGTTGTTGCTAGTATTAGAACCATCGTTAACAGTAGAGAGACTATTTTGGTCATTAGATTTAATATTAGTCGCCGCACTATCTCTTTGCGAATCTGTATCATTGGAAGAAGGTTCGTCACTTTGTTTTGTCATTTTTTTATCATTTTGGTTTCGTTTTGTATTTTTTTTAGTCATCCTGCCCTTTTGCGAATCTGTATTGGAAAATGATATTTGT